CAACCGTACCTTGTCATGCATCCACAGATGCATTTCAAGCAGGTCCAAAGAGGTGATCCTCCCCCTCTATGCGGCACTGGTCAGGCTGCAGTTGGAGTACTGTGTCCAGTTCTGGGTGCCACAATTCAAGAGGGATGTGGACAGCATGGAGAGGGTCCAGAGGAGGGCCACTTGCATGATCAGGGGACAGCAGGGCACGCCTTTGAGGAGAGGCTACGGGACCTGAACCTGTTCAGCCTCCACAAGAGAAGGCTGAGGGGGGAACTTGCGGCCTGTTATAAACTAGTTAGGGGGGATCAGTAGGCATTGGGGGAGTCACTGTTCCCCCGAGCACCGCCAGGAGTGACCAGGAATAACAGTCACAAGCTGGCAGAGGGTAGGTTTAGGGTAGACATCAGGGGGCGCTACTTCACGGTCAGGGCGGCTAGGGTCTGGAACCAACTTCCAAGAGAAGTGGTGCTGGCTCCTACCCTGGGGGTTTTTAAGAGGAGGTTAGATGAACTCCTTGCTGGGGTCGTTTGACCCCAGTACTCTTTCCTGCCATGGCAGGGGGTCGGACTAGATGATCTTCTCAGGTCCCTTCCGACCCTAGAAACTATGAAACAACTTTATCATCTGCATACGTCTGCACCTGCTAATGGGATACACAGCAGAATGTTAGTACTTTGACATGCAACTCACAGTTCTTAGTATAAGTCTGTGTATATTTCAATACAATAAGTTTTAATGGGGAGTTATATTTCTTAGAGAATGAATAATGCATTTAGGCAGTCGTCTGATGAGCTTATCCCACACTTTTTTGCAGGGGACAAATTTCTTGATTCTACCATGTCCATCATTTCCTTCTAGTTTCCAGTTTTACTTTTGGATGCTTATGCCCCCTACCCAGCTCTGCTGGTACTATAGCAGGATTGTGTGTATACTGCTCTCTCCATAGGTCCATTCCTATAACATCTACATAACTCTTCCAGATCTTTGTGAGTGATGTGAGCTAGCAGGAGGAGAAGAACAAAGGCTAGAGTAAAGGGTTAAAAAATAAATAATTCATGGAAGAAACTTGTGGGGAGAGAAGGAAAGGGAGAAATTATTTAAGGGGGGTGATAGAAGACTTTGGTGAGAGCGTAAGGACCCAGAAGTCAGCTAGAAAACTGCTGAGAGTGCAGGGAGATGACAGCAACCACACCAGTGCCAGAAAAGAACATAAGCCCAGCAGCTGCAGCAGTATGAATATTGCAGCAGTGCCAGGAAAGAGAGGAGAGCACACCCAGCTGCACCAGGAACAAGAGGAGAGTGAGCCCAGAGGGACCAGCAGTCCCTGAAGGAGAGATCCTGGAGGATGAAACCCTGGTTTAGTACAAGGGCATTTTATTGGAAGGTTTTTGTTCTTCTGAATGGGAGCAGCCTTCATTAGGCTGCTGATCTTGCCTAGTAGTGTGGCTTGGCAAGCCAACCAGGAGACCTGGTTTCGTTTTTGACATGGTCCTGGGTTCTCTTGCTTCCTTGTCAATAAACCCTTGAAGAGGAGTTACTGTATTCTGTAGCTTCCTTTAGCAGTAGTAAAGAAGCCACAACTGCATCTACACAGTTTAGTCTACAAATCTAACCTTTCTATTCACACATTATCCTTGAAAACACAGGACAATCAAGTTACTGGCCATTCAACATTTTTCAATGCACATTTTGAGTG